AATATCGAAATTAAGATTCTAGAGCCGTTAGAAGCTTTTCTAATATAATAAAAATAATCGATATTGTTTTTAACGTTCTGTGACCCCCACACACATAATATCATTGTGGGGGGGACATTCTGTCCCAAAACCCTTACAATGACATTGTGTTGACTATATATAAGCTAATCACAAAAAGTAATATATAAAATTTTGAAAAAAATTATACCAATAATAAATTTTAAATATCACCATATTATTTGTATAATTTTAGGAGAAATTAATTGTAAGTTAGTATTTTTTTTTAAAATAATATTTTGCAAATTTTATAAAATTTGTATTATATTTAGATATTTTAGTCAACTGTTTACAGTAATCTAATTTTTATAAATATTATGATATACAATTAGAGTATATTATAATACTTAGATTATTATTTTGAATTTTATTTTTAATACAAATCAGAATTTTATCATAAAGAGTTCTTATTATATTATTTTAATTATAAATTTTGCTTATTATATTTAGATTGATTTAATTTTTATAAATAATATAATACACAATTATAATATGATACTTAGATTATTATTTTGACTTTATTTTTAATACAAATCAAAATTTTAATCACAAAGAGTTCTTATTATATTATTTTAATTATAAGTATAGAATTTTATAAGATATTAAATCAAATAGATAAATTTATTTATAAAGGGAAATATTTTTACTATCATATAATTTTTCACTCTTTGAATCCTAAATAGTTAAATTTTTACCTTAAATCATTTAATTTTACACCTTTAAATTTTTTTTAAATTAAATGTAAAAATAACTACAATCTTATTCTTAATATAACGAATATTGATATAATGTATTATATAATACTTGATTAATTAAATTTTCCCTTTCTATAATGAAATAACCAATTAAATTCTTCAAATTCTTTATTAACTTGCTATAATGAATTTGAGGTGTAAAACAGCTATTTTATTATATTAACAGTAGATTATATAAGAATAATTTGAGATAATAATAAAATAGATTTATTAGTCAAGAAAAAAAAAAGGAAAAATGAAGAGTATCATGTTAGATACAGAAGTATAAAATGAGATTCTGGTAATATGTAGCCTGACAAATAAATTGTAAATATAATATAATATATTCTACTTAATGTAAATAGAAGTAGAGAAATTTAATATATAATTATAATATTAGTAAATAAATAAGTAATAATATAATGATAAAAATAACTTAATAGTATAATTAATATCTTTTAAGACTTTTGTAATTATCAAAAGAGGTAAGAGGTGAATTTATATAGCAGAAAGATTATATAACTTCTTTAGAATTCAATTCTGAAATAGATTAGGTAATAATTAAAAATGTTTAATTGATTTTTTAGATTTATATTAAAAATATTACTTTTTTCAAATCAAGGCACACTTGAAGGAGAAATTGTAATTTGGCTACTATAAGACAAACCTAAAATACAATGTGAAATCATAATGTATTTATAAGGTAATAATCATAAAAAATTTTTCATTTCATTTTTCAATTCATTTAGTTTTCTTTTTAACAAAAAATTTATAAATTAATAAAACTGTTGTATAACAATTAACAGATTGCATATTAAATAAAATGATTAGAATTTACAAAATAATGTCTGAAAAAATTATATCATAGTAAAATTATATTTGTGTAATAAAATTAATAATCTACTATACTGAATAATTTGTTATAATGTTAATTATATTGAGTTTTAACTGTAATTTGTTTAATAAATTCATTTATTATATTTTATTGTTAAAATAGTATTACTAAAATACTGTAATAAACAATTCTATTATTAACTGAACTAGTATTTTATTTCATCTAGCTTTTAAATACAAAAAATACAAGCCGTATTAAAATTAAGATGATTTTAAACTTTTATAATATTATGTGATGCAACTGAAAATGCTTGTTTACTTGGTACACTAGCACCTTGAATAGCAAGATAATTATGTACTATTTTTAATAAAATCAGAAATTTGTTTGGTTAACTAGTTATGGAACCGGTCAAAAAGCTATTACAAAATTGATGCTTTAAGTTGTATACATACCTACACATTGGAAGCGAACCGTCTGAAAACCATATAAAGGCCGAACTATGGACGAACATTTTGTCTAATGCCCGAGGTATACAGTAAATAATGAAACGGAAAATGATAGAGTACAAGTTCGCACTTGCTATCCTTTGAGGTGCATTTAGAGAGGTTTCTCTGTAATGAAAAACGGTTTAACATTTTCATGTGTAAAGATGATGATATAATCAAGAATTAATTATCTTGTGAAAAAATAATAATAACATGAATGATATTTTATATAATATATATATATATATATTTTTTTTCACTATTCACATTAATAAAATTTTTATGTTAAACATGTATAAGGTAAGGACGCAATTTTAAACAAGATTGTATACTTAAGATATTGAAATAATCTATTAATATTGATTGGGAGATTACATGTACTTGGAAGATGAACCTTTAAAATCATAAAGATTACGATGATGAAGTCAGATGTAAATGGTCGCCCGACAACCGTTTTCGAAGAAAGAATTTGGGGGGGGGGCATTGATTTATCCAATTCCAAAGTTGAAAGTTTCAATTAATAATGTAAAAACCAATGAAAAGTATTCATTCATTAAGTCGTTATTTATTTCTAATCACCATTAAAATGAAAATGTTGAATTATTGAGACCATATACAGTAATACAAAAATTAACTTTTCAACCAAATTTCACACTAGTAACTATACTTGAATGATCGATGTAAACATTCAACCTAAATAAAACAAAATAAAAATAAATAATAAATATAAAATCATCATATTAAATATAATTTATTTGTACCTATCTGGTTTAAAATCCATGGTTACCATAGCATCAGGTGGGACGACTCTATGACCAGCCGGCAAATCCGTTTCACGGACAACCTAAAAAGTATATATATATAAATAAAAAATTATTTGAACACCCTTTTTATTTCTATCTACCTTGTCCTGTTCTTCAGCCGAAATTGACATATTGCCACGAACAAATTTCTTTCCAACTAATTGAGCTTCCCAATCTTCAACAGATTTGTTAGACATCTTTTTTACGAGTGGAAAAAAAAAAAGAAATGTTAATGATTTGTTTGATATTTACGACATATTAAGTGATAGACGTTGTACAATACTAGACGAAATATTTAGCCTTTTAAGGTTAGGTTTTGTTTGCCAAATTAATTGAACACCATTGGATCACATAAAACGCATAAAAGTTTACTTTATGTTCCCTCCTTACCTTAATTTTTATTTTTATTTTTTTTTTGACAATTTAACATTAAAGATGTGCAAACATATACTTAACGCTCAGGTATATGGTGTGTTGTTTATTTCTTTGCTACTTTTTTTTTTTAGATCTAATTATTAACGCTACAATATATTTTACCAAAAGGTTTCAATTCGTGCACCATGCTGTAAGCGTTGGTTTGATTGTGCTGAATGCCATGCAGAAGCATCAGATCATGAATTAGCAAAGTCCATTGAGATGGTTTTTGCCTGCAAAAAATGTAAAAAATGTTTCCGTAAAGATCTGGAGAATTTTGATGAAACAGATGAATATTGCCCTCACTGTGACAATCATTATGTGTTGGAAGCCAAAACTCCTTCCTTTGGGATTGGCGTTGAAGGGGATGATCCAAGGCTTGATAATAGGTAAGGGTGAATGGTTGGGTTTTATTTTATTTTATCATTTGAAATTTATTTAACTAAAATGATTAATTTTAAATAGATTGATTAAAGATGAACGTATAAAACAGGATCCTAAAAAGAGTATTTTCAATCAAGATATTACATATAGAATGGGTTAAATTCTATTTCAAAAAGCATTTTGTTGTAAAGAAATTTATATAGTTTATTTAGATATAATATAATAGATCGAATTAGAAGGAAAAATTATTTATTATTCCAAGTTATTCCAAGTACGTTATTAATTAATAATAATAATAAAAAAAAAATGGGGAATTTTTTTACCTCATAGAGATTATTATGATAAATATAATTAAGCTTGTATTCTATTGGATAAAATAGTGAATTCACGTGATAAATTTGGCGAAAATGGGATGATTCGTTAATAAATATTTAACGCGAACATTTTGTTCAAAAAAAAATTCTTTTATTAATTACAGTTTTTCCTTGTCTTTAATCATAAATTTATCTATCTAAATTATTAAAATGTCTCGTTTTGTTCGCTCTTCAAAATTCAGGTACTGTTCATCTTAAACTATATACGATTTGACTTTAAGTTCTTTATCGTATTATAATGTTTAAAGACAACTTTTTGATGGCAATTTGACTACATGTTTTTGATTAACGTATGTTAGCTTGCTTTTTTCAATTTTCTAGACACGTTTTCGGTACGGGGTCAAAACATGAAAATTGATTTGATAATGTTAAAGTTTCGTCAAACGCGTGGGATACTAATCTCGTGAAAGTTAATCCTGTAAGTTCTTTTGTTTCAAATGCTCAACGAATTGATTGATAATATGAATAATTGTCATTAATTATTCCTATTTTCAGTCATTTGTTTCCATTAATTGGAATGCCGGGGGAGGCGGGGCTTTTGCCGTCATTCCACATAAGAATGTTGGTAAGTTTTAATACAAAAAGATTTGATTATTTATTATCATGATTTGATAAATAATTGGTTTATCTATTTTTACTTGTATCAGGTAAAATTCATGACGGTATACCACTTTATCGCGCACATACCGCTCCCGTTTTGGATACAGACTTTGCGAACTTTAACGATAACGTTATTGCATCATGTGGGGAAGATTCCAAGGTAATGATTTGGACAGTTCCAGAAGAACTCGGTGAACCAGAATCTCCTGATATTGAACCCGTATCAAAATTGACTGGTCATGGAAGAAAAGTTGGTCATGTCCTATTTCATCCTGTGGCAGATAATGTTCTTGCCTCTTCATCCGCGGATCTTACCATAAAATTATGGGATATTGAAAAAGGTGTAGAAAAACAAGAACTCAAAGGTTTCTTGGATTTTGTACAATCTATGTCTTGGAATTGGAATGGTAGTTTAATGGTTACTACATGTCGTGACAAGAAACTCAGGATTTTTGATGTTCGATCTAGTAAGGTAGTTCAAGAAGCCGCAAGTCATCAGGGTATTAAAGGGTCTAGAGTAGTATGGCTTGGTGACACTGAACGACTTGCGACAACAGGTTTTTCCAAGATGAGTGATCGTCAGGTTTATCTTTGGGATTCAACTCAATTAGAGAAACCTATTAAAACTATGATGTTGGACACATCATCTGGGATTGTTATGCCATTTTATGATGAAGATACAAAGATATTGTATTTGGCAGGCAAGGTATGTTACAAAATAAAAATAAAAATAAAAATATCATTTATTTTAAAATTGAAAATTAACTTTCTTTTTCCCTTTTTTTTTTTTAATAAAAAAAAATATATATATATATATATTTGTCGCGTTTAATTAGGGGTCAGTAAAAGATGTGTTGAAGACGTAATATTTGTAATTTTTTTTTCCTTCGAAATAATTAATTAATTTTATGTTTAATAGTGATGGGAATATTCGATATTATGAATTCGAAAATGATGAATTATTCTTTTTGTCAGAGTACAAATCATCTGAACCTCAACGCGGAATGGCATTTATGCCTAAACGTGGTGTAAATGTTAATGAATGCGAAATTACCAAGGCTTATAAAGTTACTAGTAATTGTATTGAACCAATTTCATTTGTAGTGCCACGAAGGGTTTGTATCAAATATATATATGTGTGCTTTTTAAGCCGAGAAATTTTTTTTTTTTCTAAAATGTGTATATATTATTTATCCACTTTATTTTATCTTTAGTCTGATGGTTTTCAACCTGATTTATTCCCTCCGGCATTAAGTGATGAACCAGCATTAACAGCCGATGAATTTTTTGGAGGTAAAAATGCAAATCCAAAAACTATTGATTTAGAAAATGGATTTGTTGCTAAGGAGAAGAAAGAGTTTGTCTCTTCCGCGCCAAAAGAAGAAGAGAAAATTCCAAAAACTGAAAAGGATGTATGTTTTAAAGAGGCTTAAATTGTGTTAATGAGCGATTTGACATTATTTATTCATTAATTTAATTTTAATATTAAATTTAGTATCAAGAGGCATATCATCAATTGCGTCAAGAAAATGATGAACTGCGGAATCAACTGGCACAACGTGAAGTTACCATTCGTGCATTAACGGCTCAATTAGAACAATTGAAATCATCTTGAATTTTAAATTATAATTTATTTATTTTATTTATTGTCCAAAAAGAAATATATATATATATATATCATTATTGTTAAAGATTTTTTTTTTTTTTTTTTTTTTAAAAAACTTTTGATTGTATTTATATTATAATTAAAAAATTTGTAGCTGATAAAACGAATGTAAAATTATGATACAAATTATCTATCTATATAATCAAAGGATATAAGTAAGTAAATTAATATTCATTATAAAAGTTTATATAGGTGTAACATTTAAAGGATCATATCTTTGAAAGATTTCAGGAGATTTCTTTTGATCTATATTGAAATCATTTCCATCATATCGAGCAGATTTTACTTCTTTATTAATTCGTCGTTGCTCTTGTTGATGGTGTAATTGTTGCTGCTGATATTTTAATTGATTTTTTTGTTGTAAATTAGATTTTACTCTAGTCATGATGACAGTAATGCCACGGAATTCTGCAATATTATCAAGATCGCTCTGTGGTTCAACATCTGCAACTTCACCTGATGATATATTTTTTAATTTATTTAAGTAACTTGTTAAAGCTTTTAATTTTTGCTTTTCAAATCTTAATTGTAATTCAGAATATTCCTTTAAGATTTTATTAAGCTCATCAGATTTTTCCTTTTTAAATCTAATCAATTCTCTTGTAACAGTCTTTTGTACGTTGATAAATTCTTCTTTCTCCTTTTGTACATTTTCTGTTAACTGAATATATGTAAAAAAGATATGTGCACGAGGTAAATTAGTATCATTTCGAAATTGAACTTTTTTTTAAAAAAAAAAAGATCAAGTTTTGACTTCACCTTGGATTCCTCTGCAATCGCTACTTGTACGTCAGATGAATCTAATCCCTTAACTGACTTCAACTTTTCTGCCTTCTCGTATTTTTTATTTCTTTGTTTTACAGCATTAACATATTCCACCAATTTTTCTGTTCTGTTATTCATAACAGTCTAAAAATTAAAATAAAAATTACAAATGAATCAAACCTTATTTTTATGAAGTATATCTTCGAATCATTTACCTTTATAGCTTCTATTATATTTCTGTATTCCAAGAACACGTCACCAAATATGATACTTTCCATTGTGGCCTTTATGAAAAAGATAGAATTATTTTTCGCGTCAATATTTAGAATAAAATCGCGCAAATACTTATTTTTACACTAACCTGTCGACCTAATAAGTAATGAACTTCATTCGTGAGAGTTCCAAACAAATGCAACATAGAATCATATTGTTTATGACGTTCAATATTATTAATTGACTTTCCATGTCCCATACGAAATTTACTATTTAATGCTTGTAAAGAACAATCACCAACATGATTTATACAAGCTCCCAATGCTAAAATAAATTAAGGGATTAAAATCAGAAATAATAATGAAGCATAATGATGGTGACAATAAACGATATATACCTTCTCGTTGTTTTATCATCTCATTGACATTATCAAGTATGGCATTGAATTGATCTTCGAGCCTCAGGACATAAATCACACGCATTTGAAACTCTTCGGCATTATTCTTTTTTAAATTAGACGGCGAGAAAAATAAAAATTATTGAAACTTATCGAATTCGATAAAACGATTAAAATTGATAACTTACTTCTTCGATTGGTTCACTGGGACGGTATATACGAAAACCGCGTTCATAATTGGGTTTAATGATATTATTTAAGAATCCCAATTTTTTTCCCATTTTTCCATCTAATGAATCATCATGGGTCTTTTTTTTTTTTTTTTTAAAAAAAAAAAATGAATTAGTTTTACATCCAGTTGGTTTTTTTGAACCCTAAAATATAAGGGTGAAACTTACCATATTATTCGTCAAAAAGTATTTAAAATCCATATTTTCGACAAATTTTGATCTATTTCCAAGTTTCTGTAAGAACCGTTCAACTTGAACTCTTTTACGATTGATATAATCCAAATCATCGAGTAAATTTGGAATAGGAGGTTCAGGAATTGGTGGAATGACATATTCAGGTAACCTTAAACAAAGTCTAGAATAAAGCCAATTAAGTTGTTGATAAGTACGATACACTGGAGACGCGAAAGTGAAATCTATGGTACTATTTTCCTATACAATTTGTATATTAAAGAAGAAAAGAGAGTTTGTTAGAAAACGCGATGTTCGTCATCTTTAAAATAAAAAATGGAACTGGAAATAAAAAAAACGTGTTTTATACCCGCGCTTTGGTAATGATTTGAAAGGTTATCGTATCATTAACAGAAGAAGCTTCCGTCACCGAAATAGAAAGCTTCATTATTAAAAGTGTCTTGAAGAAATAAACCCAAATCAAATTTCGATATAAAATAATTCGAGATTATGTAAAGTATTAATGTATTATGCACGTGCATAAGTGCATAAATGCATAAATTTAAATTAAAAATTGGCGCCAATCGCGTTCTTTTTGAAGAGAACAAAATTTTTTTTCTTTAAACACGTTGGTATAGAATCGGTGATAACCGGGGTTGTAAGATTCGGGATGTCTGTGTAAGTTACGTAAGTTACATAAGTTACGGTAAGTTACCGGTTACACGTTCCAAATTTAGAAATCTCATAGTTTATTTAAAAAAAAATATTTTTTTCACGGTTTTCTT